TACATGTGTTCAGATCTGACATCAGGGACCTGGCAAGGGGTCGTGTTTCCCTCCATTTCCTGAACTACTTCTCTGGATCTGGAAGTCCCACGACATTTCACATCCAAGGCCTGCTTTCTGTTCTGTTCTGCTCCTTCTATAGGTCCTTCCTGCCCCTCCTTCCCCGTCCAAGAATCTTACTCGTGATCCTGGAGAAGGCAGAAAGTAGGTTTTTGCTATTTCACTCGTGTTCAGTCTATCAGAGCCTCAGTGTGGGGCAAGATGTAAATGAGTACAGTGTAAGGAATTTCTATGGATAATGTTGGTGATCACGAATGGAGGGGGACTGATTTCCCTGTCAAGAGCCAGTTTTTGTGGTGCCTCATTGTTCTTCCCTGTGATGTATAGTGTTCCAGGCTGGCAGCACGCTGTGAACAAAGACAACTGTACTCTGTGGTCTCTTTTCAATGTGCTGTGACTTGGCAAGGGCTGAAGGCAAATCATGCACCTGCGTAACCTTTTTAGCTTGACAAAGAATGACGTCTCTCTCCCACTCTCCCTCCCTTCACAGGAAATGCTCCCAGACGACAGTGCAAACAAGCCGTAATTAAGTCTTTCCACCAACCTTTTCTTGGGTTTAGATGTGTAATTAAGTGGGAGAAACTGAATCAGGTATGAGACGCAGCTGGAAACTGGGAGTACCTCACGGCAAGTAAGGACTAGAACTTCTGCCCTGTGGTTCTCCGGACAGTGTAAGCAGGGTAAGAGACATGGTAAACTGATGGGGGAATTAAGATGCTTTTGATGGAAAAGTTGGTTGCAACTGTACAGAACATTTTTGAGTTTCTCAAACCTTTTGAGTTTCTTGTATTTTTGTCTTTTTGTCTCTGAGTAAGAGAATTTCAATGTTTCTCAGCCAGTATTTAAAGATAATACATGTAAGGTGCCTGCTGCTTCCCTGGGAAGGCTGTGAATACATCCTTATAATTATATGCAAAATGTGGGGCTTTGTGTACTTATCTGAAAAGAGAGTGCCATATATTTTATCATGTCCCCCAGGGGTTCAAGGCTTACTTTCCTCCCCCTGCACTGGTATTAGAAAAGAGAAGGATCTAGCCCTGGCTGGTGTGGCTCAGTGGATTGATTGCTGGCCTACAAACCAAAGCATTGCCATTTTGAGTCCCTATCAGGGCACATACCTGGGGCCAGCTTCCCAGTAGGGGGCGCACAAGAGGCAACCACACATTGAGGTTTCTTTCCCTCTCTTTTCCCTACCTTTCCCCTTCTCTAAAAATAAATAAATAAAATTTAAGAAAAGATAGAAAAGAGAAGGATCTAGAGACAGGAACTGGAAGGACAGCCACATTTGGAATTAAAGAGAGGGTGGAGTCTATAAAAGTTAGAGAAGAATGGAGGCCCAAGGCAGCCCACTGAGAGGCAGTAGGTGGTTAAGCATGTGCAGTATGGAATCAGATACTTCCGATCTCAGAGTCCAGTGTCTCCACTTATTAACTGTGCTGGCTGTGCAGTCTGGGCACTTCATATCTCCAAGCCTCGGTCTTCAGTTTTCTCACCTACAACATGGGACGATAGAATGTAAAATTGTTGCAAGGATTAATTAAGGTTATCCATGTAGCATTCCTCCTTGTCTCTTTCTTGGTGTGTGTGTATGTGTGTGTGTAGTCTGACTCTACATGTATTTTGCATTTTCCTGTCCATTTTTAGCCTCATTCTAGACCAAGTATCCTGTGCAGTCCTCAGAAGGCTCTGAGTTCTGTTCTGCTGTTTTTCTTTTCTGCTGTCTTAGAAAAATGGTGAGTGTGAGGGGGTGTCCTTGACTGAATATACTACTCCCAGCTCGCCCAGGTCCAGCTTGCTGGCCAGGCTTGAGAGCAGCACATTTGCACTTAGCCCTGCAAGGAGTAGCACACTAGTACTCCCAAGGAGTGTAGGGAGAAGTAGAAACTAGGGGTCTGGAGCCCAGTGGCCAGCCTCCTTTGGAAAGAGGAGGTCAAATCAGCCCTGGGAGGGGAGAGCCTGTATATTGCAGCGCTGCAGATGGCAGCCACCTCAGGCAGCTTCAGAGGCTGCTTCTGTGGCCTAGTTCCTTTTGTAATTTGCACAATAGACCAGAAGATGGGGCTCTTGACCCTGGAGTCAAGGGCCAGAGGATCTGACTTGATCTACATTTGAACTGGAGGGAAATCAGACCCATAAGAGCTCCCAAGGAATCCTCTGCCTCCTCAATCCTCTTCCTACTCTGCCCGCTCAAGACCACTTTCATGGCTGGAAGTTGTCCTTTTAAGAAGGGAGGAAATGTGGGTGTATCTTTCCTTTGGTCACCATCCTTGGCCCCTCCTGAATTAACACGTTGCTAGAGCTGGTCTAATTGACCCCCTGCCTTAGGTTTCTCCCTCTAATTGGCTTGCCCCTAATGTCAGATTTCAGCACTAGTTATATGGGACCTATTGTGCAGTGGTCAAGAACTGTAGAATCATACAGGCTTGTCCTTGACCCATCTCATCAGGTGACGCTCTCCTCACTTCTTCAGAGAAGCCCTCCCTGACCACCACCCCATTTAAAGTAGCTCCTCCCAACTCCCATGTCAGCTACTTACTCTCTATCATATAACCCTGTTACTTACTTCACAGAAGCAATCATAACATGTAATTATCTTGTCTGTTTACTTGTTTATTGTTTCCTCACTAAACTGTAAGGCTCAAGAGGGCAAGACCCTGTTTGTCCTATTGCTGTTTCCCCAACACCCAGCACAGGGCTGAATACATAGATTCTTAGTAAATATGTTTTTAATTAATAAATGAGTGAATCCCAGTTTAATGATTGCCTAACCTAGAGAAAGCTGGTAAACTTCTCTGAGTCTCAGTTTTTTCTTCTTTTCTAAAGATTTTATTTATTTTTAGAGGGGAAGGGAGGGAGAAAGAGGGAACTATCAATGTGTGGTTGCCCCTCGTGCGCCCCCTACTGGGGACCTGGCCCACAACCCAGTCATGTGCCCTGACTGACAATTGAACCTGATGCCCTTTGCTTCGCAGTCTGGCTCTCAATCCATTGAGCCACACCAGCCAGGGCTGAGTCTCAGTCTTCTTACCAGTGAAAAGGAGAAATAATGGAGATGCTATGAATATTAAATGGCACAATGTACTTATACAATTAAACCTGAGCCCTGGTGCATGGAAGTGTTCTCTAAAACCTTCAGCAGTGTTCTACTTTCTATCACGTGAGAAAATAAAGTCTGAACTAATTAGTCAGCTCCCCATTATATGGCCATAGCTTTTCTCGACCACAGTTTTTACTTCCTACTGCTTTCTATCACTTTCCACTTTGGTTCAAATCACTGTTACCCTGAACAGGCCATGTGCATTCCTATTCTTAAGTCTTTGCCCGAGAGCTAAGATGCTGGCTCTTTTTACCATGGCTCCACTTTTTAAATTTAGCTCAAGTCCATGTCCTCTGTGTCATATTTCTAAAGTACCCCAAGTCATAAGGGTCATTTTCTCTTTTGAATTTTTCTAATCTTTGTTGTGTATATTATACTCATATGGTTCTTATTCTATGTTCTATTAGTTTGTCTTGTGTTAACATACAGTATATCCTGTTTCCCTCATTAAATTTTAAGCCTCATAGAGATATATATATTATATTTTAGATTTCTCTGCATGTTCAGTGCCATGTGGACCTGTACATAGTAGGTATTAAAAACATATATTTGCTAACAACTTTCTATGTGCCCAGCATTCTTTGAAGCTCTGTGGAGTATTCCGAAGAGCATAAAGAAATAGCCATTGCCTTCAAATATTTACAATATTAGAGTGAGTTAAAATCAACATATAATCAAAGTATTTAAATAACCACAGCATGGCGACTGTTGTGGTGGCTTCTTGGAAGAGGTAGCCTTTGAGATTGACTCTGAGGGAAGGTTAAGGTTTGAATGGAAAGAGATGGGGTGAATGCCAGACTCAAGAGACAGGCTTAGCGAAGAGACGGATAGAGACTGTGGTAATTAATGATGAAACTCAGAAATGAAACCGGAGGTTTATACAGGAGATTGGACATATGGCTCTGCCTCAGTTACACTTCACATTTCAGGGCCAATGGGAGGAATGGTATGCAGAGTTGAAACTTTGACATGTACCTAACTATGGTCCTCAAGTGCAGCCTCTTTGTAGACTGAGAACGGCTTGCAAGAGTTCTTTTTGCTCTAATGTGACTCAGCTACAGTCTGATGTGATAGAATTAATACATACAAAGGAAAAGGCCCCTTTCCTTCTCTTGGGGACAGAGGATTGGATTATGGTCAGTCTCTCTTTTCTTTAAAACCCAAATCAGATTGAATGTTATTCATGACTTTCTAAACTCATCTTAAATCAGTAGTTCTTGTTAAATAATAATTTGCCTTACATTATTTTTTCAGAAAAGTTGGAAGCATTTTTGTAGAGTTACTTCAACAGTCATCCTTAGTTCAATTGTGCTTTTTGCTGCCAACCTGAGACTCAGGGAGGTGACCTAAGTCGCAGTGAGTTTGTGGAGCGGGTAGGATCACTGCCTATCTGCTTATCTTTAATGTTCTTTAATCTGGCCACTAGCTCAGAGATTAACAAGTAATCTTAGAAGGCCGTTTCCTTTCACCTTCAATTACTTCCTTCTGCAATCCCCAAGGCACATTTCTCCAGAATTTAAAAATCATTATCCAAGGAATAAAATTAGAATAGACAAAACCAACACTTTCCTAGTTTTGAAAGTTCAGGGCTAGCTGCAAATAAGAACGAGACTTTGTTTCTAGTGAGCAGTTGGACGGACCCTCTAGTCCTGGGGCCCCAGAAGGGAGGGAGGCGGTTTCCACGGCAACCTGGGCTCCTCCGGCTGCTCCCTCCTCCTCCTGGTAGCCCAGGGTACCGCCGGACAGCGTCCTCTCGTGCTCCGCGCCCTGATTGGCTGCACAGGACGCGCGCTGATTGGCGGTGGCGGTGCCTCGCGGCCGGTGGCTATGGAGGCGGCGGCGGTTGATGGTTGACCGTCTGCTCCAGGGTAGGGGTCGCCGTTCGGGCGATCCTCTCAGACCCGACCATCGTGCGCTGACGCTCGACCTGGAGCCTGTGGGCGAGACCGTGCTCGGCTCCGCCATGCCGGCCGGGAGTAACGAGCCAGACGGTGTCCTCAGCTATCAGGTAGGGCCCGCCTCCCACCCCTCCCCAGGGCTCAGCCTCCTCCATCCTCTCCCTATTCCTGCTTCTGCCCCCAAGCTGGACTCTCAGGCCACTCTCTGAGGGCAAGGGGAGGCCATCCCGGGACACCAGGTGGCGCTCTGGGAGGTTGGGGATCGGACAGGGGCTGCGAGAGGGTGACCTTGGGCCGAACCGGGAGCTGCCTCTCACTGCCGCATCCCTTGCACGGCTGGCGGTGACCTCTCTTCTCTTCGGGTCCTCCCTGTTGGGAGAGAGGCTGGCTTCTGCGCCTCGCCGTGTAGTGCTGGGACTTGGGAGAAAGGGTGGCCAGGGACCATACTCTGGTAGAGCAGGTTTCCTCTTTGTGTTATTTTTGGGGGGTTCAGGAAGAGCTGGAACCATTGGAGGCTGGGACCAAACCCTGTTACTGTGTCCAGCTTTATGTCTCCCTCCACCCCATTGCGCAAACATCTGACAAGTTCTGGATAGGGAAGCAGGAATGGACTAGGGAAGTGTTGAGGAGCTAGGAACAGTGTTTAAGAGAATGACAAAACCAGGTTTAAGCAACTGATAACCCAACTGTTGGGGTGGCTAATGTAAGTAAAAGCATTGAACTAGGTGTCAGAGTCTGTAGGTTCAAGACTACATCTACCTCACACAGGCTTTGTGACCTTGAGTAAGTCACTTGCCTCTTTTAACCTCAGTTCTCCATCTAGTAAAGCGGGAACGATAGTATCTGCTTCCCTTACCTTAACAGGGTTGGTTTGAGGGCAAAACGAGGTGCTATTTGTGAAAACACTTTGTGAAACAATGTTTAATGTGTGACATTAAACATTAAGTGAGTGAGTAGTATGTCACTGAATTCTCTACCCCACCCCCCTTTTCTGTGCAGTCAGGTGGTATAGTTACTGGTCTGGAAAGGGGGATTGATTGAAGGGGGGTTCAGGTCTGAAGTGGAGGTCTGTGAAGAGAATGATGGACCTTCTCCGGAAGGATGATGGGTCTTGGACACAAGTGCCATGTTGACACTTGGGGTAGTTTCTATCCCCTGAGCTACCCAGGGTGTTTTCCCTGCCTCCTTCTGTAAGGAGGCAGGGAAAACACTCCAAGTTTGTGGCAGAATGGGTATCAGACACTGACTCTTCTTCCTGGTAGTAGTTTACTACTAGAAGATCCACGATTTCTTCTTTGCTTGCTCCATCAAAAAAGGAATCACAGCTAAGATTTTGGAAAATCCATATCTAATACTGTTAAGGCCTACTAAGTGTATTCATGGTATATTTGGGATACAGTGATGAGTAAAAATAGGCAATGTTCTTGTCCTCTGGAGCTTCCTGTCGTGTGTGTGTGTGTGTGTGTGTGTGTGTGTGTGTGTGTGTAGGGAGGGGGGCTGGAGAAATAACCACACAAGTAAATGTATTATCATAAACTGTGATAAGTGCTTCGAAAGAACGATAGACAAAATGTGAACAAAGATCTAAATTTGTGTCACCTGAGGGAAAAGGAGCTCAAAGGGCTTTGGAAACAAAGGGAACACCATATGCGAAAGTCCTGTGGTAGAAGTGGGTACATCAGGCTAAGACCTAAAAGAGGTGCAGTGTGTCTAGAGCCCAGAGAGTAAATGAGGGAAATGGTGTGAGGTGTACTCTGGCGTCGTAATATACAGGGTCACTGTAGTCCATGATGAGGAAGTTGGTATTTTTCTGGGGAACAAGGGGAAGCCACTGGAGGAAGCAGGGAGCAAAAGAAGAGAGAGGTAGAAAGAGAGAGAACGAGCCAGAGAGAGGAAAGCCAATGAGATCATGATCAGACTTTCTTATTGAAAAGACTTCTCTGGCTGCAGTGCGGGAACAGGCTGGATGAGCATGAGGTGACTGTGTCCTTCATGTGCAGACTGTGTACAGGTTGTATTGTCCGGGTCATACCAACCCCATGGCTGCTGTTAGTGTTCTGTGAAGCTGATAATTCCAGAGTGCTTCCAGGATAGGAGAGAGAATAATGACTTCTTTTATATCTAGCTCATGAAACTTTCATGGATGCTGGGATGGGGAGAAGAAGAGGAATAGAGTGGGAAGTAGGACCTCTTGAAGCCTGAGTGAAGTGATGGACAAATGGGAATGTGGATATAGGGGGGGAAAAGAAATGAGGGGAGAAGGAGGAAAGAAAATTGAGCTGACTTGTGGGAGATGCAGTTAACTGACTAAACGTTACCAGTTAAGCCTCCTGTGTGCCAAGTAGGCTGTGTGGAAGGGAGGCAGACCTTGCAAAATGAGGGGATTGTATAACTTATGTAAACAGAAATTCCAGACATCACGTCTAAATATCAGGAGTCCGTGTTTTCTCTGGTTCGCACCAGCCTTCTAACGATTCTCTCTGCCTTCTCTCTTACATTTCTAAATACTTTATGCATGGCAGCCAGAGGGAGCTTTTAAAAACACAAATCAGATTATGTCATATCCTATCTTGAACCCACTATCTTTAGTGGGTTCCCAGTGATTTTATAATAAAATCCAAACTCCTATCATGGCCTATTGAGTTTTAACGTGATCGAGGCCTTGACCACACTCCCTGACCGCCTTTCCTCCGCTCTCACCGCGAGCCCCTACCCTGGCTTTCTGTTTCTTTGATATGGTGAGTTCCTTCATGCTTCAGGACCTCTGTTCTTGCTCTTCACTCTTCCTAGGACATCTTGCTGCCTTGGCCTTCTCATGACTCAAGTGTCACCTCCTCGGAGTGGCTTTTCTTGATCTTTACCCACAGTTACTCCTTTTCATATAATCCTGTTTTGTTTTCTTAACAGCTCATGTAATTTATTTGAAGTGTTCTTATTTTGATTTCTTGTTTATTTTCCAATAGAAGCCTCACGAAGGCATGGATCAGCCACAAAACATTTTCATCTAGCACAGTGCAAGGTGTAATACAGGTGCTCGGTTGCCTGAGGAAATGAACGATTCTCCCGTAGTCAAAGGCAATGTCCTCTCCTCTGGGAGCTCCCGGTCTTGTCGGGATTAGCACAGGACAACGGACAGCCATTGCTCGAAAAGCTGTCTCTTTTGTGCTGTCTTAGCTCAGATGTTCTCTGGAAAACCTTTGCCTTCTTTTCAAATTACTCCATTTGAACCTTCAAGGTCTGACTTCGTATCACTGTCAGAATTCATTGCTGTCTTCTCTGCCCATGACATCCACCAAGTTATGTTACTTCTCCCACCCTTTACTTATGGAATATACATGTTCATCTCTCCTTATAAGCTGACAGTTCCTTTTGATGTTGTTCTGTGAGCTTTTATTGGTGCTTGCCATGTGCCAGGCACTGTGGTAACTGCTTTCCATGCATTCTTTCCTTTAAGTCTCTCAGTAACCTTGAGAGTTGCGTGCCCTCATTCTTATTTTTCAATGTAGAAACCAAGATACAGAGAGGTAACTCTAATAAGTGGCAGGGCTGCCTGCCCCTCTTCCCAGGATGTGCCCTTAACACTCTGTATTACTGTAGCTTTTGTCTTTGATTCCTAGACCAGTGCCTGGCTCCGAGTGAGCACTTAGTGTTTGGGAAATATGTGTGGCAAGGTGTATATAAGAGTGGGAAGAGGCAGGAGTAAGGGGGTCAGCTGGGAGGCTGTAATTCAGGATAAGCCGATGAAGGTCTGATTTGTTGAATTTTGATGAGATCTCCAGAGGTGATTATCGAAATTTTAGGAGTCAGTGAGTTCAGAAAGGGGGTGGTAATAAAGAAAGATCAGAAAGCTTTAGGGAAAGCCCCTAGTTTGGATTGGAACTGGGGATATCTTCAAATTTCTTCAAAGTTCCCCTGAGGAGCACTTTCAGAACTGGCCAGAAAGAAGTGCGGGAGGAGAAGGCTGGAGAAGCCAGCACGGTCCGCACTTGGGTCAGGTGGTGCTGGGGTCCCCAGGGAGATTCAGGGAGGGTGGCAGTGGAGGTATGGAGAGCGAGTGAATTTAGGCAATTACCAAGGTTTTTATGTGAATGAGGCCTGCTCAGAATGGAAAATTTTGCAGAAATCTTCAGAGTTATAAACTCTGGTAAGTGAGTGATAATTGGGAAGCATGGCCAAAGGGGAAGAGAGTCACACTGTACATCTTAAGGTGGGCCTGAGAAAACCCTAAGACAAGAGTTCCTGAAGGAGACCTGACTGCTTGTGTCCAGTGACTCTGGCACTTGTTGGAGCTCAGTAAATATTATCCGACTAAATGAATAAATGAATGGCTCTGTAGAAAGCCGGTCAGCTTTTCAGAGGTCAGTTTATGGTAAGCAGTCAGTAAATATTTGCTGAATGTTACTGAACAAAAGTGGCAACCATAGCAGATTCTCCTCTTACTCCATCGCAGTGTACAATCCTTACTCTTCCATGCTGTCCCAACACCTAGTAGATGTTCTTTCCCTAAGCAGGACTTGGGGAAGCTACGGGCATTCTCTTCGCCTGGCCTCACCAGGTCTACTGGGAACCTTCAGGAGGAGAGGTGTGGGCTGTCCTGCCAAGCAGAGAATTGAGGTCGTCTGGGGAACAATCCAGTCTGAAAATTGACTTCCTGAAATATTGGTGGATAATTGTCTTAGCTCATGGTTAGCCTTGGCGGGGTAGACAGGGCTCTCAGTTAAGCCTGCATTAGTAACTAGGACACAGCAAAGCAACTGTGTTTATTCTAAATCTGCTGCTAGGTAACAGCAACAGCTCTTAGGTAATCGAGATGGTTGTTTCTTGTAAGGTAGTAACACATTTACTCTGGTTTTGGTGGTTAGAAAGCCATAATGCGTGTATTAGTTTCTCTTGCTCCCATAACAAATTAACACAAATTTAGTGGCTTAAACAACGCAAATTGGTTGTCTCACAGTTCTTTAGTTCAGAAGTCCTACAAGTTCTCAATGGGCTAAAATTAGAGTGTCGATGGGGCTCTGTTTCTTTCTGAAGGCTCTGGAAGAGAACCTGCTTCGTTGACTTCTTCCGCTGCTAGATGCTGCCTGCATTCCTTGGTGTGTAGCCCACTTCC